CCCCCCCCAAACACGGCAACTAAAATGAATAATGCATTTAAAAAAAATGTACTCGTAATAATATATTAACACTAAGTAATAATCTCCTCTTTCTTAAAAAAAAAGTCAAAATAAACACAGAGAAGAGTAACATAAATGAATACATATGGACAGAATTCAGCATTGCTCACATCGTAAAGGTGAAAACAACATAGCCTGCTGATCACAGGGTGGAAAATTTGCTTGCATGGGAAGATGGGATAAAAATATTGCAAGAATTGTGTCTTGACTGCAAAAAAAAAAATGTTTTGTGAGAAATATTAGATGTGTAATATCAAAGATAATCCAATCTTCGCATTCTCACAAAAACAATTCAATTAAACTGATCATTTTAATATTGGATGAGTTCATCTTGACGCACTCGCAAATGGCGAACTTAAAAAGCATCCTCGGATAGACGAAAATCTTGACAGCGATACTAAAAAGATTCCATATCAATATTTCCGTGCGAAGGCAGAGCGACATATCTGCAGTTTTTATGATTTTGAGTTACGTCACGCTGCCATTGGAAACATGGGCATGGCCCTTCAGTAACGTCTGTTTGCCATAGTGAAATATACTACAAGATACGTCTTCCTGCCTTTAACACAAGATGTAGAATGGGTAATTCATCCTTTTAAACGAAGATGCAAAAATGATACGTCGGTCTGCCTTGGCACGGCAGAATATTCGCGTGTTTTTTCTTTTTCTAGGAGTAAACTTTGACTTTTGTTTAGCCTCTAACCGCCGAGTTAAAACATTATTTAGATCATTAAGTGGGCGAGCTGTTTCTACAAAACAACAACAAAACCAGTAACAGCAACAACAGCAGCAACAACAACAGCAATAATAACAAAAACAGCAGCAACAACAGCAGCAACAACAACAGCAATAATAACAAAAACAGCGGCAATATAAACACCAGCAACTGCAAGGACGATGACAATTCAGAAAGGTAAATCGAATGTTGTGGTCCTGCAGTGATTTCCAGTCTAAGCAAAGTGATTGATGTGTGTTTCTTGTCACCCACCTCGCTTGGTCATGGACAAAAATCTTACAAACCTAGATCGGTTTCAACTCAAACAAAGGAATGCTTTCGGTTTTAATATAGTTGAATACAAAAAAGCTAAAATGGTAAAAAAGAAATGACAGAGAGGCATAATATGTCGCATTATTGATGTTGATGCCACGTTAAAACTAACCTCGAAGCTGTAAAAATGTTGGTATTTAGATAGAATGATAATCAGTATACATGTATTACAACACAGCACAACCAGACAATGGTAACTAGTATAGAGTAGTTTTGCATAAAGATGAAATAGGTTTGTTATAAGTAGATTTCTATATATCGAATAACATATTTCGTATCAAGATTCAACAAAAGTTTGGCTTAGTTACACCACTGAGATCTGACAGAATTAGAAAAGAGATAATACAAAATGACGCATTGAATTTGAACTAACACAATCTGGATGTCGTACATAGTCTCTGCACAAGGAGAATAGAGAGCTTCATTGCTGTAATTCCTTAAGCATTGCTCCACTGTACATAACTGTGTGTGTTGTTTTCAAACTCGACAGAAATGAGTGATGTTTGTTTCTGTAGTCTCGTGTTCATGCACAATGCAACAAATATTTTCAAAAAGACATTTTCTGTCTGTGCAAAAGAGATGGATTCCCAGCATAGGTTTTCATTCAATAAGACGTAAACGTAGTTGTGAAATCTTTTAAAAGAATTTTTAAAAACCCCAGAAAAACAAAAGCAAAAAATCCCGAACAATAAAAAAAACAAGAAATGAAAAACAAGAAAACAAACCAAAAAACCCCCAACAAATCAACAAATAAACCAGAAATGGTTCTTCAAATTGTGAGCAAAATAAATGTTAGAATGTCAGTAAAATCGTAACAGAAAATTGCAGTTCATCAAATGTCAAAAGGTCAGAACAAATGGGAAAAATTGTTGTCATGCTGTGAAAAGAAGCTGTTAAAATCAATCATGACGTTGCTCGGATATGTTGAAATAGAACACTTGAGATACCCCCGTGGATGTGGCTGACTACTTCCAAACTTTGATATTCAATTGATCTTTCATCCTAGTTGTCAATAGCAACTAGATCTAGTTCTTTTTCAATAGAAAAAAAAAAAGAATAGATGAACTGAAATTTTATACTTGGTTTTTGCAGAAAGTGTGTGTGTGTGTGTGTGTGTGTGTGTGTGTGTGTGTGTGTGTGTGTGTGATTGCTGCTAATCATTACTGGACTGATACAAACAAAAAAATGTTCCTTACAAGACCTTCCAATTGTCACACTGAGACACTACAAGAGAAATGTCCTTTAACAAAAGCTGGTAACCTTATTTACATTAACTCGATTTTGATATCATGTCATAATAGAGACTTATATTTGCACTCATTGAGTGAAATGAGACCAAATGTCGCCCTGAAAGGAATCAAGTTTGAGAAACGAACCAAAGCATTATCCAAACCGGTAGTGGCGTATATATATATATATATATAATATATATATATTACAGTGAGCACGAATGGTCGTTTCCAGGTGTGAATCGAATTGAAGCGTTTTATCTTTGATGGCGCCAAGATGTCAGTACTAGAGTTTCCCATCTTCAAAAGGAACGGTGAACTTTCTATTTATTTAATTTTGATCAGACAGTCTCTCGGTAAGTGCATACGAGATTTGAGCTAAAAGATACTTGTTTGAAAAAAAAGAGAAAAGAACAAGTATTATGATAATATCATCAAGTAATGCACTTGTTTAGTCACTAGGGGGAAGATGTGATTGGTCAACATAAAAATTTGTGCATTTCTGATGACGTACTCTTTTACCGTAAAAGTCAAATTTGTCAAGAATCATATTGAAAAATGGGGAAAAGACGAGAAAAACCCCTCTCAGACTTGAAGGTGTTCAAACATTAAAAAGCCATGCTTATTTTGTGCATCCTCGCCTCCTTCAAGAAACTCAGTCCAAAACATCTTTTGATTCAATTCATTTCTAAAACAAAAATTGTTTTGACGTCTTTTACTCATTATTATCTTACCTTTGTAGGCTCTTCATCCTCGTCATCATCCAGCTTCTTCTTCCGGTGGTGGCTGGTGACGGATGACGTCACCGAGTTGTGCTCACTGTCGTCACGTGACATCTCTCCCCCCACGTTCAGGGCCTCCCGCTCGTCGTTCATCTTCTCCAGAGCATATTCAGAGACGCCGTTTTTCTTTGGCATGGCACATTAACGAGGTTGGCTACCTCCCCTCTCTCACACACACACACACACACAAACACACACACACACACGTCAGCCACAGTTAATACTCGCGACCAGCTCACGTCAAAACACACATCCGCTCCGGGGCGACAATCTGGCGAAAGTATACTCCAGTGACAGTCTTGTGGGTTTCTGCACTCACACAATGTCCATCATCCTTTCTCCCACCAGTTGAAATTGGAAATAAAAGTATCCCTCGAAATTGACCACCAAAAACAAAACAAAACCAAAACAACAACAACAAAAACAACAAATCACAAGGTTGACTGTCTTAAAACAGGGGGATGAACAACTGGTGTGCAGCTAAGACATCTTTTCCTCCTCTCGTCTTCGCTCGTAGCGAGTGTTTATTTGTGAATGTCGTCAAAGTAGGGCCGACTGAGTTGTCATCTGAAAATGAAAACACAACACGTTCTCGAGTCTTTTATATCTTTATATACCTCGACGAAATCCGCTATGTGCCTGAACATGAAAAAACATAATATCCATCTATATAATTTTCCTGACCATTAAATCCATCACTCAAATGGTTCGAAAAGTAACTCTCGCTATTTATCTCCCAGATATCAAAGAAGATAACACCACGTCGAATAGTTAACGGTAATTGATATGTGTGAAAAAAGCTGTGAACAGGCTAAAATAACGTCAGAAGTTTCAACGAAATGACATCTGCCCCATAATCCATTTCGTGATGGATACCCTCACGATAGGAGATCGCACAGGTGAGTCAGGTGAATTAGATATCATATTATTTTGTGTCTGGTGGTGCATGAAGGCCATGTATTGATGTTTTGTTTGCGCGCCCCCTGTTTGTGTGCTTGATTACTTCCATCCATCCATCCATCCATCCATCCATCCATCCATCCATCCATCCATCCATCCATCCATCCATTCTCAGCTTCCCGGGAAGCATACATTGCAAGCAGCTGATTAAGCGCTCAAACACTAACAAACTG